TGGGTTTGCGGGCTAAGGCCTTTTGGACTTGGTGGCTTTGGGGGATTCATGTTAATGTTACGGTTACCGGTTGCTTGGACTAGAAACTTAGACAGCCATGCTTGTTGCCAAGGAAGATGCACAGTGAGACAGGGGTGTGGGTTTTCGCCGCGGATTTCGAGTCTTCACTCAACACAAAAAGTCCTGGTTTGGGGCGTCTGCATTACGGCTCTTGTGGGGAGGAGTCAAGACTAGATGGTTGGATGCAGAAGAGTCACCATCTCCACATATAGAGCTCCTCGTAGGCGGCAGCCTCCCGCAGAATGCAGTGTTGCTCGGCAACCAGCTTTCACGGTATACCCCACTTACAGGCTTTGATTATGGATCATGTCGAGCCCCCAGCCCTTCGAACCGAAATGTTCCAGATTCGGAACGACTTGATACTGTAGACCCATGACAAGCCCAAGGCTATCAAGATCCTGCCGAACACTGTACGGTCGAAACCCAAAGCTCACCCCTTCAACTTGCATCCCCCCCACAACCCTTGTGAGATTAGTGCCCCAACATGGCCCAACATCCTCCACAATCCGATAAGGCAACTGCCCCACCGTCCTCGAAGCGGCGCGCCCCGCCCAAGGCCACCTGCGCGCGTGGAGGGAGCTTCTGCGGGGACTCTTCTACAGTCTCTGGCTTTGGGGAGTAGGGGTCTCAATAATTAGAATAAGGTTTTGGGGTCCATTATACTATAATTATAATAAGGAACCCCCCCCCAAAAAAAAATTGTGTAGGTAATTATTTAGGCCCCTATATTCGGCACACCCTGAGCGACAGACTGTCCTACTGTTGATGATATAACTTCTGCATTACCTTAAGGACCCTGAACTATCGGAATTATTGTATATCCCTTATTCTGGGTAATGCAGGATTTATATCACCAACCGTATAAAGCCTCCCTAAGACCGGCTTCCGATCTTTTTCCTGCTCACAGCCACCCAAAAGGCTTCAAGTCTTAAGCGTGTTGTGGGCGTCCAGGTAAGAAGCCCTCAGCCTACAAGACCAGGTACAACAAAGTTAACAAACCAACGAAAAAAATCTTAATCAACGAGCCCCCCTCAAAAAGAAAATCGAACACAACAGAACCCTTGTAGAACCCTCAAAGAAGCCCTGATTGAATCCTTGCAGAATTCCCCCTCCGTCCCCCCGGTCCTTGAAGCCCCCGGAGATAGCTCCCAGAGCAGAGAGCCGCTGGCGCCGCACCTGCCAGGAAAAGTCGGGGCTCCCAGGGCAAAGCGCGAAGACTCAAACTCTAAATGTCCTAAAACCCTGAATTTAAACCGTTGGCGGGGGGGGGGGTCTATTTTTCTGTAGGTTTGGAAGGGTTTGGGGTGTGGGCTTGAATTTGAAGGGGTCGGCAGCTGGAAGTGTTTTGTTGTTCCGGCCTGGCGTTCTTCATAGGGTTTGTGAAGGGCTGATGAGAGTCCTTATAGCTCTTCGGAGTGCTACTGTATGACAGACTCCTAAGTCTGAAGTGATCGAGAGCATTGCAAGGCAAGTAAACTGCTTGGGACTCAGGTCTTGGACCAAGTTTCGGATTCCATAACCAGGCTGCGGGTTTAAGATATTCCTGTGATCGGTGCTTTCGCGGGGTTTATGAGCCTTGTTTGTGGGTCTATGAGTCTTGCTGGGCTAGGCAGTTAGGGCTTCGGGTTTCAGGTTTGGGCACCGGGTATTCAAACGTCGAAGTAGCGAAAAGCCGCACATGCATTCAACAGGTACCAGGTTTGGAATCTGAAGTTGCGATATCAATGGCAACGGGCGTTCAACGACGTCAAGACTGAGTTAAAAGGCAACCGAGAGAAACAGGCGTAAGGCAGGCAGATACAACACGGACCTAGCTTCGAAAAGTGTCCACCTTGCCTCCTCTGCTGTGCAGGAGACGCTGCGGGGAGCCTCGGTCAAGGGATTCGATTGGGGTCCTTAAGACCGTGCTTATTGCTTAGGGTTTAGGGAGCATGTAACGACTATGCTACGGGAACATGAGAGATCTTCCTGCTTGTAGGCGTAGGGTCTCTGTATGAAGGCCGCTCATATTCTGACACGCATCACATGACGTCTTCGGACTAAGTTACCAGCATTGTTTCTCATCCTGGAGTGGGCCGCGATACTCCCTGAATACCAAACGTTTGCTTCGCGTCGAATGTCGGCCTACCACGGCAGTGTCTCTGTGAGTTGAAGCCGTGAAACCTTACCTACCAGCCAGTACCTACCCGCGAACATCGAACGCTAGCTGGAGAAGACGAAGCCTAAGACGCATCATCCACGCGATGCTTGCAAATCTAAAAAGGCCCAGTCCCCGAAGACTGGGTAGAGCGAGGATATCTGAACCGGAGTTCCACTTAGTGCCCTTCAACTCCTAATCTGCTTTTAGAGTCTTAGAGTTCTTACTTCCTGCAAATCCCACTTTCGACTTCATGCCACTCAACGTTGCCAAAACGATAGCCGCCTTTACCCTAAATTAACCCTGATCCTGAACACTTACCCAAACCCTGAGCCCCAAACCGCATGAGTTTTCAACCCGACGGTGGCGATTCCAAGGAGCGGGCGACTTCAGGCTCTTCTACGGGCTGTCCACCGCCTGAACTCGGAGAAGGGGGGGGGCATTCTTGAGGTATGTATACCAGAAACAAGTTCATGTGTATGTGTGCATGCGTGTATACATATATATATATATATACACATGCACACACATATACAGACTGATAGATGTGTATCTATGTACGTGTGTATACTTATATGTATGTACGTGTATGTTTGTATATGTATACAACATACTGCAAGTATGCAACACCGACAGAGGCACAGGCACATCTTCACACACACACACACACATTGTTCGCAACTGCTTTTTTAGATCTACATTCATGAATATGCAAATATGAAGACGGTGTACGGACTGTTGATGGCGCACTGAGGCTAGACTAGGGACTGGCGCAGGTTGAAACTTCGGGTGTTGGGCGCCTGTTAACTCTTACTGATGCTCTCGGCTGGCGGCCTGACGGTTTAGAAGCCCAACGACTGAAATATCGCGACAGCCACAACAGGACACGTACAGAAGCCGACAGCGAATCTTGGGCTTCGGCTGTCCGCATCCACTGGGCCTGACAGGTGGCATACTGATGCAACGTTCGCAGCTTCTTGGAAGGATCCGTCCACTCTCGTGCCCCATGTTCATGTATTGAATGCTACGCTACTATATCGAAACATCCTCGGGCCCACACGCTGGCCGCCGAGGCCTGCAGAACAATTCGAGCGATGTACGGCTGAGGCTCTGGGGTGTAGGGATTGGGGTTGTTTAGGGTTGTTTAGGGTTTAGGGTTTAAAGTTTGGAGTTTAGGGTTTAGGGCTTAGGGTTGGAGGCGTGGTCCGTACAAATACACTCTACTCACCAAGCCCTGCCCTTTCAATCGTGCAAGCAAGCAAGAGCATCACCCAAATTATTTGTGGGCCCCAACATAACTCGAGACACGATGCCGACCTCAACCCTGAAGTGTGAAGGCTATGGGCTCTTAACACTACACCCCTAGGGTAGAACTCAAAATGAGCAAAATGGGAGGTACACGAGACGAACGTTCGACCGGCGCTCAACACCACTGCCTATGTTGGTTTTCTCTAGTTGTGGTTTCTGCTTATTCCTATGTCATGTCTCTTGCCGTTCTATGTTAATTTCTATCTTTGGCAGCTTTCGCCTGGGCCTGTCTACCTTCTATGTTCTCCTATGTTGTTTATACTGGCTCAGCAGGATGATCAACATAGAAACACCACAGAACAGTGCTAACGTAACATAAGGAAACACAAAACTAATGTAGAAGCCATAATAGAACACACTTTGAAATAAAGAAGAACCAGGGCAGAAATTGATATCGAGCCGATGATCCATTTGCAGTTTCATGGTGATTCCTACTTTCCCTGCTTGTTTTGACGCCTTCATCAAAGGCTTACACAGGATTCAGCCTCATAACTGTGGGCATTTTTGCTGAAAGTCGGTATCCGGTACTCTGCTGAACCTCTCCAGTATGCAAGCCATGGCTATGGGCTGGGACTGTGAGCTCCTCTGAATCCCCTTGAGAGATCGTTAGCTGTAGGGAGCCAGGGAGGTGCAACCTATCCATAGCAGTACCAGATGCTGTGGTTATGATGTGGTAACCTGGTTGTTTTGCCGGTCATACTTTAGCGCCGTCGGTGCTCCAGAACCCCCAAGTGCAGCACTTCGCAAATCCAAGCCGCGCCTGGAACCCTCAACCTTTATGCCATTGTAGTACGAATAATGCAGCTATAAGACCTCGAGTAACATAACATTGTATCATCCTCGAACTCCTGCAACTGTGAGCTGTAGCTTTGTTTGAGCTTCCTTGAGCCCAGCACAATCCGCCGTGGCCAGAGCGACCCGGGGAACTTCAGGGAAGAGGCACCTTGAAAGGGCAGATCTAAGCTCTAGAGGTGAGGGTTCGGGATGGGTCTAGTCTAGTGTCTTCGAAACTTAATGTTAGGATGTGTCCTCTTGCGGTTTCCTGTACGTTGCTCGCTCATCTTGGCATTTCAACTCTAAGCTTGCAAAAATCGGAACGAAAGGAGCTTTCCAACTGATGTGCTAGTTTTAGGTCGAGAGCCACGAATGTGTTGCAAACTTTGTCAAGGCTTGGCCATTTCGATGTAAGAGCTTTACGCATGCGGCTATGATGCTTTGTAGACTTTGGAGGTCGGGGGTATGCCATCATGTTAATGTGGGAGCCGCCTGATGCCGCTTGGCTCTCGCTCAAACTGCGCATTGGGTACCCGACCACATCGTGAAGCTGCTTTGCCAACGCTGAAGCAGCTGGAGTCTAAGATAAACCCACAAACCCGGTGGCGACAAACCCCCAGACACCATCATTCCGTCTGGTATTGCGGGGTTAAACACGTCGGTCCCAAACGGATCTTAAGCTGCAAAGGGTTTTGAACTGACACCGGACTGGGCTGCAAGCTGTCTGTGCGAGCCCTGCAAAAGATCCTGGAGCCAAGTCTTCCATAAACTTTTGTCCTTGCGCAGGTGTAAGGGCTGGAATGCAGGCATCGTCAAGAAAACGTGTACATTCCGCATCATATCATTGATCACTAACACGTGCAGAAAAAACTCTTCTTGTATACTCGTGTCACTCCGTGATAAAATACCGAGATTCCATGTGGCACTTCGGGCCGGCGAATGTCGGTTCGATGAGTCCGAGTCCGCGCTGTTCTTCTACTTAAAGAGACGCAGAACTTCTACATTCTACATGGCATTCTTGAAAAGTGTGTGGGAAAAACGCGCCGCCAATGTAGGGGCTGTGAAACTAAAAAAATCCGGTTCCGGTGTAGGCTCTATTGAAAGTGAGATGTGAACAGAAGGCTAGTAGATTCTTAGTACAAGGTCTTAATTCCCAGATGTTGGGTCTTGACGGTCTTGACGCCAGGATTCCGCACTGGACGTTGGCGCCTTGGACATGAACGACCGCTGCATATGTCGATGCGGGCATGTATGTCTGCAACTGTCCGACGACATCTACTCCCGTTGCTGTCAAGGAAGCAGGGACATGCGTCAAAACAGCGGTTCAACGCGAGCGAGCCAACTCTTTCATTCGATTCTAGATGCACTGCAGGGTGCAGCAACCTCCAGAGGGTCAGGCAACACAGAATCCGTTTGGGCGTTGACTATGCGACTCGGTTGGAATGGTCAGAGTTTGTCTTGAATGTCAAGCAGGCACCAACTCGCGGTCCAAATCGATGCAAGCTGGCTCGGCATTGCTTGGTGTACATACTCAAGCATGCGAAATCGAAAGTGTCAAACTTGAACGCAAGCCAAGATAAAGCCAATCCACGGCCGCTTATTCGTTGAATATACAACAGTGTCAAGTCCTCGATGCTTTCTGTGAAAGCATTGTCATGTTCAAAGAAGCCAGCAGATCGCAGGCGCGTATCAGCTGACTTGATTGGGTCTGACGTGCAATACTGTGGGGGCACACGGAATCCCATTGCGGCATCGAAGTCGATCAGCGGTGAACGTTGCAATGACAACTCACGAGAACAGCGTGAGATCGTTTGCTCTCATGCTGCATTCTAAGATTTATGACTTATGATACAGAATGATGCCCCAAGCTTAATGTGACTCAGCAGTCAGAACATGGATGGAGGGAATGGTTCAGCCCAGGTTGAGGTTGTAGGGTCTTGTTGCTGCAGGCTTCAAAGATTCAGCAGGAGTGAGGGCTCGGAGCAAGTGGTCAGTGTTGGTGTTCTTCTGCCAGGAGAAGACGATGAACTAATCCGCCAAGCTGAATATGTCAGTCGCAAGCCTTCGTTGCTTGTCGGAACATACCATAAATCCGAAGCAACCCTGGTACGATGTTTTACGAAAGTACCTGTCGCAACTTCCACTGGGGTCATGCCGAAGCCATGCAAGCCCTTGGAGAAGAGAAGACCTGGGCACCGCCTCGCAGCCTACAGCTCCAACCCAGAAGATCTGCCGACAACCGAAACTTCACGGGGTTTAGGGTTTGGGGTTAGGTTTGGGGTTCTGAAGTTGTAAAGACATCCATCAGCGCAACCACGAATCGCAAGGGCCAGCTTGGCACCCTCAACACCTGAACTTTTTAGCCCAAACCTCTTCCAAACCCCGAAACAAAGCAGCGGGATGCATCCCAAACACAAGGCCTTAATCTTTCGTACTCGAAAGCCTGTCCCAAATGGGTCTTGAACAAGTACGCGCGTTCAGTTACTTGCTGGCAACAACTGGCACCACCAACTAGTCGCGACAAAGATACTAGCTAGTAGCTAATGATTGTCGCAATACAGTGCGGAGTTGTACTACCCACACACACACACACACGCACACACCACAGTAAGTGATGTACTCGTATAGTGATCAATAAAGACAAAGCTGAACAGAAATGAACATACCACTACACATAAGAGCCAAGCTTCAGCTTGGCATAAAAAACCAGGACAGAAATGACCAAAGCATCGAGCAATCATCGCTAATGTTTATTGCTGTTGCTGCTTACTATTCATGCTGATAAGGACATGGGTAGTTCTCTAAAATAGGGTCCCTTTTGGGGTCCCCAACATAGTACGGCACCCTGAAAAAAAGGACCCTAAGAGAGACCCTAATTTAGAGAACTACCCACATCCGAAACCCAGGGCCCCAACCAGTCCTCCGGCCATTCCGGGAGGATCCAGCGATTCAGGATGCCAAGGGGCATCAGCCAAGCTGCGCAGGGGAGGGAGGAACTTAGTTTCTTAAGTTACCATAATAGGGAAATCCTATCAATTATAATACCCTAAACCCTAAACCCTGTTATCTACCCTTAACCCTACTGTTTGCCCTAAACCCTAAACCCTATAATTTGCCCTAAACCCTATAAACTCTACCAGTCGGTTTGGTTTCAGGTTCACAGAGCTTGCGACCTGCAACCTGCTGGGGGACTCGAAGGCTTCAGAGTTCCCCAGAAATCCCAGAAATCCTCGCTTCTGAGGGATCGGGAGTTTAGGGTTTAGGAGTTTAGGGGTTTAGGGGTTTAGGGCTAGGGGTCTAGGGTCTAGGGGTTTAGGGGTTTAGGGGTCTAGGGGTCTAGGGGTTTAGGGTCTAGGGATTTAGGGTTTAGGGGTTTAGGGATTAGGGGTCTAGGGGTTTAGGGTTTAGGGGTTTAGGGGTTTAGAGTCGGATGCTTTCAGGGTTGAGGGTCCGGGGCCAAATAGAGGAGCCTTCATACTCAGACACACAGAGAGCAGAGATTGGAGGTAGGTTATAGTAGTAGAAGGCACCTGAGGGACAATATAGTGAAGTATTCAGGCCCCTATACTATACTACAGTGACTTAAACTAAGCTGCGTCGTCCAGGCTTCGGGGATCGAGGAACTAGCGGTGTCTGCCCATGTCAGACGGCTGTCCCACGCGGTGTGCTGCTACACACATGCCTCGGTGCGGTACAATCCACTTGGAGGTTCATGGGTAGTTATAAGTAGGGTTATAAGTCCCCTAATATGGGTTATAAGTAAAGCTACCCTACTTATAACCCCACTTATAACTACACATGAACCTCCAAGCAGCTTCGCCTGAATTACGGTATTTGATGTCTCTGGTTCACCCCACACACACACAGAGAATCCAAAACTCCCTGCTCCCCACGTCTTCCCATCATATTTCCGCCCTTCACCCTTCCAGACCATGTGCGATGCTTTCGCTGCTCCTTACTTATCCCTGGGGCCTTGGTCGCTAAACCCATCGCTCCGGAGAACCACCGTGGGATCTGCCACGTACTGCCTCAGGTCGGAGTTCAGGTCTTGCGGAGCTCGACCACGGTCAAGGGACAAGGGCTTAAGAGAGGGACATCAATTTTCAGAATAAGGGTTTTGGGCATGTCATTCATGCTATAAAGATAACCAGGCACTACCGCGACAGCGACCCTGTCGCACAAGCCCCGAAAGCAGCCCCGCATGTTGACTTTCCAAACCCTGAAACCCTGCTGCTCTCTTTCATTCTTGTTCCGGCTTATGTGATTTTTGATCTCTTTGGTTAGAGGGTTAGACTGTGGCTTATGAGTATGACGTCATGTGAAAACAAAACGGTTTACGCATTCATACTATATCACTCTATATCTGCTTTTTGTGAAACGTATGTGTGTGTGTGTGTGCAGATACCAATGTAGGCACATGTACACCGAAAACGTAGATATGCATACGCACAGAAACATGCGTTCCCCCATAATATGCCTGCTGATCTACGTCGGCACTGCTACACCAGCATCCTGGACGTCAACGGAAAGCACATGATGGGCAAATTCTAAGTAAGGCACGCATAAGCATTCTCGTTGAGAGCGCTTGCACACCACAAGGTCTCATCATGGCCTCCAGACCGCGAGAAGGAGGTCTTCAGGGGTGGAAAATCTCCCAAGTATACCTATCACCTTAAACGAAATTGATTCAATGCTGTCCGCCTGGGTAAAAAAAGGATGCTTCAGGCTTAAATCATCTTGCATCTAACCTCCAAGCACGGAAGCACTCACCACCCACAAACACTCATCGGTGCCTGTGTGATCAAACTACAGTAGTTGCGATTGTCTCCGGATCGAATTGCACGTCCGCACACGAGAACCGAAGCATAGGGTGGTTCTCGTTTGCTCATTCGACCGATCCATGAAGACCCGCGCTTCCCACGCTTCGCACAACAGCCAGCCCACTGATTGAAGCGGCCGACTGCGATGTGAAACCCAGAAACTCCTTGTTGACCAAGTTACACTTCGATCCATCCCCCACAGCTACAGAGCGAGAACGTTGCCGAAGTATCTCCCCGAACCCCGCAGGCCCAGGGCTCCGAACCCAATCGTACCGAATCGCCTCTCTGAAGCCTCAAGCCGACCTACCTCAACCATCGAGGCTGTTAAGAGAGATAGAGGACGGACGGCAAAAGAAAGGGCGTCAGACCGAAATCCTAATAACTCCAGATCATGAACACTTAAATCCCAAACCGGGCTCCCAGAAGCTAATGATGCGAACGGCAGGCTTTCACCCCCGAGGTCCCCGGCTGAAGGCCGGCAGCAGCTGCACGAAGAACCATAGCCTCAGTGGTCCCGGCTCTGAGAGACCTCGCAGAAGCCACCAGGGGCCTCGCTCTAATGTAGGGGGCCTTAGTAGTTAG